CAAATTATCGGTTCTGTAACAATAATAGTAATAATAATTATATAACCAAATTATTTTCATTACATACAGTATTTGTTTTCATTATTATTTACGTTGCAATATATTGAATATATGTTATTTGTATAGTTTACATCATACTATATAGATTTTATATATCATAAAATTGTTGTAAATTTGTAATAATAATAATAATAATATTATAATACCACGTATAATCGACATTTATTACACACTGACTTTTAATAATATTCCAATATTTTTACAAGCACAATTTTATAACACATGGACACATAGTAAAGTACTAGTTATACATATATTGAATAATGTATATATTTTTAGTACTATTTATTTATTTATTTTTCCCTCTTATATAGATATCTTAAAATTTAAGAGACTAGTATTCAAAATCAATATTGATTATAATATATAATATGTTATTATACCGTAATAATATACAACATTTCCATAATATGAAGTTCCATTTTATATGGGTCTATTTCTGATAATTTACGTAAAATAAAATATATTTTAAACAGTACATTCAACATTTAACCGACATTAATAAATATATAAATCCAAAAATTCAATGGCTAAAATAATTGACGTAGAAAGTAAAAAAAAAAAACAATAAAATTGTAATAAATTCAAGCATACCAAAGTACACAGAAAAATAACCAAGCAAAAGCTGATATGTAACGCAAAAATAAACGAGAAACAAAATAGGTTTTTGTTTTATTTTTAACAATAAATTTACAAAAAAAAAATCAACACAAAAACATACGCGCAAGTAGTCGTGCGGTTGTGCATGGTAAACGGTTTTCCGAATAAAAAACAAACAATCCAACGATAATAGATTAATACAAAGAACGATAATAAATCAATAGAAGAACAGAAACTAACAGTACATTTTATGACGAAAACGAATTTTCATTCAGCACCACAAATATGACGTTACACAATAATAATATTATGTACATAAATTGTTTTAAACAGATATATTTTTACAGTCACAGGAATTGCGACGACCGAAAACAGAAAGTCTATAGGAGGAAGTCGGTCCCCCAGCCCGTCGGATGTTATAGCGATCGTATACCCCGGCCAAAACTAGTGCAAAGGTCGAGGTCAATCGATTCCTACGGGCGACACAAATAATCGCGACTTGACTACAACTTACATACATCAAACATACAAATAATACATATATTATTATACTATACCAATAAGGGGAATATTTTATACGTTATAATATAATATGGTATAACGTTTGCTCAAACATTGATTATATATTTATGTACATAAATATATTATAATACAATACTATAGTATACACTTGTTTGCGTTATATTCGATAAGAAATGTTGACGTCAAATCCAACCGGATTGTGTCACATGTGTGTGGGAGAAGGGGGTTAACTGCAAGTATTCGAAATACACGAGTCTTCTAAATGGGTATATGCGCGAAGGGTCGTACAACATGTAAAACGATAATAATAATACATAATTAAACAAATACTGTAGGTGCGCTGCTTGCATAATATATGAACACATATATATATAATATATATTACATTGTCGTCACCGTCGCGTCAGTCAGTGGTCTTGCCGGCTCAACGTTTGATGTCGTCGGGCGTGTCGTCCGAAGAAGTCGCCGCAGATGTGGTGACTGGAGTTGTCCATTGCCACCGAGAGCCGTACGGTTTTTCTTGGCTGAAACAAAAAAAAACGGTTAATTCAATAAATATTTTGGACAGAGTTGAAAAATAAAAACTTTAAGAGAAAACTCTCGAAATATCGCACGATCGACATTAATAATTACATTATACATATATTGCACCGTGTGATCGTTACGGGATGTCGGGTTGTGGGTGGGGGAGGGAGATAAAAACTTATACTTATGACATACACTATGTTTTTTACGGGCTAGTTTTCACTGTTTTTTTTTTTTTTTTTTTTTTTTTTTTTTGTGAGGATAAATAAGATGTAAGATTGTTATAAGTTTTCATATCGATGATTTTGTATTGATGCATAAACAACGATTATTTACCAATCATTCCGAAACATAATTTTGACCAAGTGCATAATAGAATCTAAAAATTGGTTAATTTTCAAATAAATATTAGTCTGTTATGAATATGAAACTCAAAACAAGGTATGTCTTTCCAGATAAGATAAACTGCCCTAAAATAAATCAGTTATATAAGTATTTTTCGTTTTTATAGTTTTACAAAAAACCAAAAAAAAATACTCAGTTATACAACGCATCTATGTAATTTACACTATGATTTATAGATTTGTCACACAGCTGAAGTATAAATAGGTATACTTACATCGAGTATATATTATAGGTACTACAAGACATATAACTCATTAGGTATAATACCTATTATGTCCACAATATTCGTCAATAAACTTATCGTCGGACGGTTTATCATAGTTTTAAATAAATGAATACAGTCCATAATAATTACGTCATTAAAAAAATAAAAACTATGAAACAACAATGGTATAATATTAAAATATTTTCACACCAATATAACGGTTCGCTGCAGTGTGTACCTACATGCATACCACAATTTTACCTATATTATTATATGACATAGATAGATATGAGTATTGTGTTCGTCGCGTACCAACTCGTAAATGAAAGCCATCGTCCATGAAAATAAAATAGTTACATTAAATTTTTTAGTATTAATGAAAACAAAACTGATGGAAGTTGTATTTTATACAGCATATTTAAGCACTAGTTTTTCGAAAGATAAACCAGAAAACAGTAAAAAATTTAAACATTTCAATATTTTTAACGATAATTAATTAGTTAGCGAAACGTAGGTCCAAAACTTTTAACAATATCGCAATCATGTAATAGTAATCAACAGTAATACTAATAAGCGCCAATATTAATATATTAATACATTTGTATACACCTTCATTGTAATATAATAATATAGATCATGAAAATTTGTAACGTTTTACAGAACTTCAATACTTACAAAACACATAATTTAGTTGTTTAAAATAAAGTTTATTTAGATAATTTGATRACAAACTATATGAAAACAGAATRTTAAAAATTGCAACTATACTAAGAAAAACTGTTTTCAAATTCAAATATTATATAAAATAAAATGTCTTATATATCATAGTTATACTTGAAGCTAATAAAAAAAAAATTATGTTTTATTATGAAAACATTAAAAGCGAATTCAAGGTTACATTTTACACAGAATAATTCATTTAGTATACCGTAATTATTTATTAATTTAAACTTTCTTCAATAAATTGTCTATAGTAAAATTTAAATACAAAAATAATATTTCTCTAAAGTACCTAAATGTCAGTAAGGTAGCAGGAATATTATAAAAATAAATTGAAATTTTTTTTTGCTTCTTATCCCCATTGTATATTTTTTAAGAAATATAATATATATATATATACCATATATGATTCCACTTGTTAAAATATATCTTTTCAAAAGTGTATAGTACATTTTTAAACAGTTATTATTACTCGATTATAATTTGATTGATAATATGATAAAGTATGAATGTATGATACCTAGTTATAATTAAAATTTTCAACTCAAGATGCAATTTTTTAGACATCCGGGTATTCGTTAAAATTGCATAATATCATCTATATATACTATATATATAGACGCATAAAAAACCTTTAAGACAATAACTAACACTATTTTCTCGTAAGTTTAACTTTGATTGAAAATGTAATGTTTTGGATATTATTAATTAGTTTTTAATAGTATTCCAATACCAAATGCATTTGTCAAGACAAGTATAGTAATTCCATTGAAGTTAACGTCAAGCTTTTTATTTGAAAAAAAAAAGATCAAATATAATGAATAAATAAACGGAACTGCAAACACCCAATATTGTCAATATACTAAACTGTTCTATATTATTTAAACCATACTATATTGTATAAATTACTGATATTATTGTTGACCATATGTGTGAGTATAAGTACGGCTTTGTTGCTATATAAAAGGACATTTTCATTATAAATTATTTAAATTTATGAAGATATACGTATTAATCGTCATACAAATGGATCCGCGTATTTTATATAAAATATCTATATTATATTTTATCATTATTATAAATTCATTTAACGTCTACAATAATTATATACTAATTTATAATGAGCTAATTTTTATTTTCCTGATGAATAATTATCATAAAAGTATGTGTAGAAACCGCAATTATAATTTACTTTTAATACTTTTATACATTTTGAATGGTACTTTCTAACAATTAGATTAATGGAATTTCAATTTTAATTAATCAAATATATAATATAGAGGGTGATTATTTTATCAAACAACACTCATATGGTGTTTGTGTGTAAATACCACGTAACATACACCTGTAACACACAAACACCATCCAAAACCATCCAACTTTGGGAGGCTATAATCTTGTAAACGGATTAACGAAAAATGAAAATTTAAACGTGAAAATTCATTGAAAAAATAGCCTTTTTAGTTTATGAAATTTTAAGTATAGGTTGTTATTTGAAAATCAAAAGTTGATAATGGTTTACCTGATAAATATAAGGGTGAAAATATTTAAAAAATATATATAGTTCTAGAACAAGATGGATCTAAAATTTTGAAGAAAAAAAAATTGAAAAAAGTCAATAGTTTTTGAAATAATGAGTGTTGTTTGATAAAAGAATCACCCTGTACATACCAGGGGTGGCTAACCTTTTTTAGGTCTAGTGCCAAATTTTTACAATCAAAAGTTTGACAATTTTTCACATGCCCAAAGATTGTTAACACTAAATAGAACATAGTAAATATAGTAAAATACTTAATTTTACATAGAAATATATAATTTTTTAAATGTTTATACTTTGTTTCTATGAACATTTTAGAAGCAAAATTTTACGAATATCATAATTTTTTACAATTTAAATTTTTTGCATGTCATTGAAATTTTATAAACGTGCCGCTTTTAGCATGCGTGCCATGAGTTCGCCAGCCTCGATATTATATACGTTATACGATATTAATGAAATTAAAACATGATTATGAAAACAGACAAGCAGTAAGTTCATAATATAATTGAGTAGTAATAAATATGCAATTTAAAATATAAATTATAATCGACACCTCACTTCATACCTACTTCAGTAATTTATGCGATATAATTCGTTCAAAATAAATTTTACAGATTAGTAGTTTAACTTCTTCAATAGACGAACAGATAAACTTTACAAGTGCACCCGCAGTGAAAATAATCCTAAATATAATAATCATTTATGATCTTTAAAATTTAAATACAACTGTTAAAGAATAATATGAATATAATTATTATTGGATTTTTTTTAAGATATTGTACCAACTCTTTCTTTTATACTTCGGGATATTAAACTCTTGTACCACATCCAAATGGTATAAAAAATAATATTAGTTGAGGGGAAATTTAACGTATCTCTAGTGGTAGGTAATTAACATTTAAAAAAAAAAAGTTTAAAACGTACAAACATACGAGCGTAGATTGATATATATATATATATATAAATATTGGATCACATGAGTACAACAAGGTATAAAATAATATGTTTATAATATAAGCTTGATTAATGCTAGTATAATACCAGTCGTCCCACAAAATAACAAGACCCACTGCGTATAAGAGTTGATTAATAAAATTTAATCGATATACCACTCGTCAATCAATTGTAGAAATACGATGATACTAACGAGTTATACATCTCTGGTAATGTGTTAGACAGTATTACTGTATTAGGATGTATTAACTACGAAAGATGATTGTTTCATAAATTATATTTTGAAATCTGGAGCWGAATGTTTTTTATTAAAGCGGATGTACTATTGCAGGGATACCACAATAGCAGTTAAATCAACTGTAATAGGTCAGTTAATAATATAAATGCACCGTTTTATTTTATTTTAATAAGAATAATGCATTACCATGCGTGAGTTATATTCCAAATAAAATTTCTTTTAAAATGTATGGTATTAACCATTCATCTATCTATATTTAAATAGTTAATTGCAATTTCAATTAGTTATATATTAGTATATTACTATAAGCACAATGCGTTGTGATATTTTTAGATTTGTTTATCTGATTTTATGAAATAAAAAGTAGCAGTAAAGATGATTGTACATAATATATATATACGATATACCTATATACCTATATATTACACAGTTTATAAACATACCTAGCTTAATATAAAGCATTAATTAATAATTACTAATTTTTAACTGTTCAAGGTTATATTTAAATGATCCTTTTTTTCATGTCATCCATTATCTAATTTGTTTAATAACACACTATATACTTCCATTTTCGATGTCTACACCTTACTTTCTTGGTTTCCTTTCATTCTTTTCGGAATTTACTAAACTAATCTAAAAATAATCCACAACAACCCAACGATCTGTGATATTTTCACATCTTTACTTCACCTGCCCAAATTTGTCACTATAACGAGCATACCTGTGTTCCCTTTTTAACTCTTCAAACGGGTGTCAAGGATTTCAGCTATTAAATTAAATCTTTAGTCCGAAAGAAATATTCTATAATGATAATAAAAAACGGGAAAAAACCCGATGTTAAATAGTAAAATGTCTATTATTTAAAAAAAACATAACAATAATTAATTGACTAAATTGAAGTAAGAATCTGTTTTTATATTTTATTTTTATTTAAAAA